GCCAGGCAGTTCAAAACGCGCCTCCTGAAGCGTTAAACACTGCCCCTCCCCACCCTCCCCCTCGGTCCAGACAGCCCCGGGGCAGCGAGCCCGCAGCCCGTCTTTCCGCCTGATCGCACGCCGCCGTGCCGCCTCGCCGCCGCGGTTACGAGAGGTCGTCTCTTAAGATTTCATCGCTCCCGCGCTGCACTTTTCCTCCCCCGGCGTGGTGCCGTTGGAGTGGACAGCCTGTCCCCCACTGCGACTTCCTGGTTACGACACCCTTTCCACCCCTCCGCCACCGCCGCCGCCGCCGCGTTCGCCGGCCAGAGCTGTTTGTTGCCTCGCCTAGACGCGTTGCAAGGCGCGGCGCCGCGGCGGTTCTTTTGTTTAGTTTTCTCCAGCGGTTTCAGTGGGCAGGCCTGCTTTAGCCGAGCTTCCAGCTTGCCGCGGACTTTGTTGTTTAAAAGGGCCGATCAGCTTGACGCCAGGCTAGGCTGGGCGTGTCCGTCCTGACCAAACTCCTTCGAGCGGGCGGCTCCTCTCCGTCGCTTCCGCGGCGCCAAACTCTTCAAACTTGAGCGCCTCTCCAAGTCTCCTCCTCGTCGCGAGCGTCGCGGCCCTGCGCTCCACGCGGAGCTCCTCCTCCTGGCGGCCCTGCGCGCTGCGCGCCGGCTGGTGATTGGCTTTATCGTGTCACCTGGATTGAATCGGCGCGGCGGAGGCTCGCGACATCGTCGCGGATCGTAAAGGCATTATTGAAGCCGCTGCGAGCCGCGCCTCCCAGGCGCCGCTGCCTCGATCCCGCAGGGAAAAAGAGGGGTGGGGGAGGGAGTGTGTGCAGACTAGCTTCATGCATGCATTCTCATCGCGAATCAGACGACGCGCGGCCTGGCGGCGCTATGCAAAGACCGGGGGGAATTCACTTAGTGGCGCCTCGGAGGGGATCCCCAGTCCGCCAGGCGTTCCGGGGCGTTCCGGGGCGTTCCGGGGCGTTCCGGGGCGTTCCGGGGCGTTCCGCAGCGTCCGCGATGACGCCGTGCGTGGGGTCGCGCTGTCGCGCGGCGAGGCAGATGTCCCAGCGCGCCATCAGATTATCGGCTTATCCGACTCGGCGCGTTTTATTTCTGCCCGCCGCGTCGCGTCGCTGTCTCTCTCGCTCTCACGGCGCGCCCCGGCGGTCCCGGAGGGGTGCGAGGGAGACGAGCGTGCCCTCGCCAGGATTTGCTCTTTACGATATGGCCGTCGGTTTTACGCCTGGAGCCTGCAGCAGCAGCAGGCCTGGGCTGGGCGCAGGCCTGGAAGGAGGCGGCTGGGATCGCGGCCTCAAAGTGACCCCCCGAGCCCGAGGGCACGCCCCCGCCGCCCCCCGCCGCCCCCGACGCGGACCCTAACCCGGCCCATCTCTATTTGAGCGGCACGTCCGACCCGACCGCCGCCAGCGGCCGCCAGCCTCGGCCGGCCCAGTGCAGCCACGCCAAGCGCGCCAAGCCCAGCGGCCAGTGGGATCAGTTCCTTCCTCAGCATCGTGGCGATGTGTATCGCAATCTGTATCGCAATGTGAATGCCCGCTGAGTGCTCACGGGAACCCGTCTCCAACAGTGTCTCGGACCGTGTTCGGAATCGCGTCGGAGGCGGACCCTGTTCGCGTAAAGATGTTTCCGCCCGGGAAATTCGTACGCGCTGGAAATGCAGGAAACCGCGAAACACAGCGGCAGCGCTACCGCCGCCAGGGCGCCACCCCCCGCCGCAGGGCGCCTCGCTGCCCCAGTGCTGTCCTCCTCGGCCAACGCCACCTTCTTGTACCCCGTCACGCCCGGGGCGCGCTGGAGGAGACGGACGCCCTCACCTGGATCGGCCGGACCGGGCCGCTGGTTTTGCTGGCCGCCCCGCCCCACCCCGCCACGCCCCGCCGCGCCACGTGACGTTGATCCGGCCGTAACCATCGGAGCGGAGGACGGCAGACACAGATAACAAGAAGCTGGGCCAGCAGCAGCAGCAGGCCTCCCGGCCGCCGTAAAGATGGCCGTCCTCCTCGAGGCGCGGCGCTCAAATCAAGTTTTTCACGTGATGGCTGCCGCGGCGGCGCGAGGGATTCTCGTTCCTCCTCGACGGCCGTTTTTCGAGATTGGCTGTAGCCGTCTCGCTTCCTCTGCCCCGGGCCGCCGCGGGACGACAAAGAAGAAAGGCGGAGCCGCTTATTGGGTTTGGCACAGCCAGCGGCACCGCGCCGGTGCGCCGCGGCCGGCCAGCCGTGAGAGTAGGCAACGCGCTCGCAGCCGCGCCAGAGGGTTGCCCACCCGCCAGGCGGCCCTGCAGCCGCACTGCCTTCATTCCTCAAACCAATCCGAATCAAACACATGATGGTACCGTTGGATTCCGCGTGAAACGAGGAGTTTGTTGGTACCATCACGCGTTTCGTTTCAGTCTCATTTCAGCATTCGGGACTGAGATCGCGTCGAGACGAATTTCTGGCGCCCACGGCACGGCCTCGCGGGGCGGAGCGGGGCGGAGTGCGCAGTGGCGCGGCTCCACGGCGGAAGTGGCCGCTTTGAAGGCACAATGAGGCGCGCGTCAAAGGCAGAGTGTGGCGCCGGCAGGCTTTTTCCGAACTTGGTCGCTCTGTCTCTCTCGCGCCCCCGCGGGACGCCGGGACGCGCCAGCAGGGCGAGAGAGACGGCGCGACGCTGTTTCGGGAGCGGACTTCCTGGCGCACCTCGGACCTGCCTCGCCCCCTGCGAGCTGCGAGCCCTGCGCGCTTAATCCGCGTGCTTCACGCCGTCGCCGCGGGACTGCGCCACTGGAAGCTCCACAACAAGCAGCAAACACGACGCCCTGCCGTCCGAGCCAGGCCCGCGGCGGAAATTGTTGCAGGGCCACGACGGCGGCCTCTTCGGCCCCGACTCGGCTGGCCTGGCTCCCCACGGCCACCATCCCCTCTCCGCCCCGCCGCTGTTCTACACTAATTTTCCACCTCCATCCGCCCGAAAAATTTCCACGGGGAAAGTAATTTTAAACGACGTCGCCTCGCCACTTCCAAATCGGCGGCCCCGGGAGAGGGCGGCGGCGCGGCGGCGCGGTACTGCCGCGGGGTTCGGACGGGGGAGAGGGGAGCGACGCCGTGGCTGTTCACTTGCACTTCCCGGGCTGCTCCGCTAAAAGTCTCTCGGGCATTCTTACAGCATAATGGCGCGGACGCTCGCGGCCGCCTTCAAGGCCTTCAAGGTGCCGGCGGGGCTTTGTGCTGCCGCGCTGCCGCGTTCAAGACGCAGTCGACGCCCTGCCCGAGGCTGGGCTCCGCTGTTGTTGTTTTTATTTTCCTTGGCGCTTCATTGTTTTTGATTGTTTTGCGGTGTACTTCTGCGCCGCGCATTCACGTCATGCGTGGCGCTGGCCGCCTCCCCGTAGATGCAGTCCATGATTGGGACTGGCGTGGCACTGGCGTGGCACTGGCGCGGCCTGGCGTTTGATGCCCCCGCCGCGCCCCGCCGCGCCCCGCCGCGCCCCGCCGCGCCCCGCCGCGCCCCGCCGCCCCCGCCGCGCCCCGCCGGCCGGCACGTCCGGCCCGGTAATGGACAGGTGGCCAAACTGAACCGACCCTGCACTGCGCCCGACGGTGGGCCCCACAGTGGCCCCCACACCCTCCCTACAGGGTCGGAGCGAAGCACCGGGATGAATTGCTGTCCTGCATCGGAAAACGCTCGGCAACGCGCTGCGAATCGTAAGGCCTCGGCCGCCTCGGCCCCAGCCTCCGACGCCGGCCTCGGCCAACCTCGCCGAGCAGGCCGAGGCCGCGGACCGTCCTGGACCGGCAGGAGTGGGAGTCGGGCTCGGAGCGATGGCGCTCATAAAACGCGCACAACTTGAGCAGTTTGGCCTGTTTTTCTCGCACTTGTTTTCCGATTCGACCGTATAGCCGTCTATCGCGGCGGGCCGGGGCGGGGCGGGGCGGGGGCCAGCAGCGCCCCGAGCGCGCCGCAGCCTTAAATAAATAACGCGCACGCACACTGGGGTGTCGTGGCGCCACCGGGCTGCACCGCGGCGGAGCGGGGCGGGGTGGGGCCGCTTGCAATGGCTTTGCGACGTGCCGCCAGCGCCCGCGTCGCCCGGCCGTCGAAAAAGAGAGAAAGTAAATTGCAGGTACGCGGGCCTCGCCCTCGCCGCCGTGGAGCCTGGAGCACGTTTGAAGGTCGCGACGACGCCCATCGCCACCACGCTCGCTACGACGTGTTAGCTCGCGTCCTTGGGCTAGTCCGGGCCGGGCGGGCCCCGGGGCGCCGTCGAATCGTCCATAGCAGCGCCTCCGCCAAGTCCGAGAGATATCGATGGTGAAGTCGATCTATCATTTTAGTTTCCAAGGACGCCGGCATCAAAGGGCGAGGGGTAGCGCCCGGAAGGGTGAGTCGTGAGGTCAGGTCGCCGTGCGGATGGGCGGGGCGGGGCGGGGCGGGGCGGGGCCCAGTCCGGGACGCCCTTGACAAGTTTCTTGGGGATCGGCCGATCGGGCCGTGCTGTCGGCCAGCAAGTTGTGCCGGCCAGCTCCTCGGGCCTCGGCCGCCCCGCCGCCCCGCTCGGTTGCCCACTTATTGGCCTAGTGGCCTTCCCCGCCGGCACGGCGCGGCACGCCACTGCCACGTCCTGGCGGGGCCATCTCGATTGGCCATCGCTCACCGCATTCGACTCGCCTCGCGCGCACGCCGGGGCCTCGCCGCTGCGACACCGGCCAAGTTTTTGACTCGGCCGTCCGTCCGGCGGTTGGCCGCTTGGCCGCGGACCCGGGCTCGTTTTGCACCCCGCCGACGAAGACAAGTGAGGCCAAGCCAAGTGAAGCGGCGGCGGAGGTAAACTTGCGCCGAAACTTTGGCCGAGCGAGACAGAAACAGGCGGGCAGGCCGGGTCGGCCGGGGCAGGGACCCCCCGGCGTGCGTACGCGTTATAAAACGGACGCCGATGTTCAATTATTTGTGGCGCCAAAATGGCGGCGTGTTTGCGGTGTGCGCGCCAGCGGGTCGCGGACTCACCTGGTAGTGCGGCGGGCAGGTGCAGTTGACGCGGCCCACGGCGAGGTCACAGTCGCACAGGGGCCGGGGGCCGGCCCGCAGGTCGCACAGGCCCCGTCCGTGGGGCATCTGGAACGTGGGCAGGGACAGGGGCGCCGGCCCGCCGCCGCCACCGCCCCCCGCCGCCCCCGCGGCCCCCAGCAGCAGCAGCATGGGCAGCAGCCTCATCGCCCTCTCCGTCGTGGCCCCGTCAGGGCGGGCAGGGCGGCCGGCAGGGCCCCGCGCGCCGCCAGATGCCCGTCCAGCCCCGCGTCCAGCGGCCGGTGCGGCATCGCGGCGCCGACCTGCAACACAACAAAAACACGCTCGATTAGCATAAACTCAACACAAAGCTGACAGCCGTCTCTCTCGCACTCGTAGGGCGTCCAGTAACTTGCGAGAGGGACGGACGCTGACTTGGTTCCTCGTTTGGAACTGGGTCGCGAGGTCGCGAGGTCGCGAGGTCGCCGCCCTGGAGCCTGCGGCGGCGGGGAGACAGTCGTCAAGTTTTTGAATCGCCGGCCCGGCCTTTGACGCTGTCCTGGGCCCTGCTAGTGACAGCGCGACAGTGGAGGGGCGGCGGGCTGCTAGACTCCTCCCGAGGGCTGACCCCGTGCGGGGCCGTGCGTGCGTGGTGGGGGTGGGTGCGGACTCGGTGGCGTCGCGGTGCGGTGCGCTCTGTTTTTCTTTTGATGCCGTATCGGGGATTGTGTTTGTGAAGTCCTAGGTCTCCCCTCGCGTCTCACCGCGCCGCGCCGCGCCGTGGGGACCATAGGCGAAAGAGAGACTCTGTTGACTTTCTGAATTGCCGTATCGGCATTTCCGTCATCGCGATCTGCTGCACGTCCTGGTCGCACGTACGCCGCGCGGTGCGGGGCGCAGCGCGCAGCGCGGGGGGAGCGGGTGCCGTGCCGTACCGACATTTCATATGCTCTGCGCTCCCCGCTGCCGACTGTCAATATGAAGCGACGGCGCCCCTTCCCCCTCCCACTTTCCCAGGCCCCGGGCCCGCCCCCAGCCCGCCCCCGGCCCGGAAGAGTAAAGGAAACATTTTGTTGGTACGATTGGAGGCGACCCAAGTCTTTGTCCGCCGGCCGTCACGGAGCGGAGCGGCAGACTCATTCCGAGTCGTTGTGGCTCTCCGTCTCTGTCGCGCTCATGGGGCGTTGCGCAGGGGTGCGAGGGAGCGAGAGAGACGGAGCGACGAAACGACTCTTCGCGATCGCTCGGCCACCCGACGGAGCCGGAGGGGAAATGTGAATGTGATGCGCGCGGCACTCGGCCGAATCTCGATGCGAATCTGAAGCGCCACTTTGGCGGATGTCAGGTGGGGCGGCGGCCTTGGCGGTGGCCGTCGCGTCGTCGGACGAGGGTGTCAAACTGCAGTTACGTCCTCGCCGGCCGCGCGTCGCCGTGGTAATCTTGCAAGACAACGGCGGACGGGGGATTGCCTGCCCCCGGGCAGCCCCCTGGCAGCCCCCGGCCCCCTCTCTTGTCTACGGGGCTGCGGGGCGTTGTACAGTTTAGCACTTATCTCCCGATAAAGGTGTTCCCTGGTTACGGCCAGGGGAGCCGTTGCGAGCGGGGCGGGGCCACGCCCAGCCACGCCACTGCCGCGCCGGACGCCCGAGCTGGCAGGCTGTAATGGCCGGCGCTAGTTGCGAGACGCCATGCATTATGCATGCGGACTTGGTTTGTTAAAGAAATTCGTCGGCGAGCTGCTGCCGCCTGCTTGGTCCGGGCCGCAGCGCCTGTGGGGCCTGGGCCGGGGTCCGAAGCTGCAATGCGGTGCGCTGCGGTCGGGGCGGGGCTGGGCGGCCAGGCAACGCGGCCACGCAGCGCGCCGTGGCGGCAGGCAGCCCGCCGGCCACCGATGCGGCCTCGTTGCCTACCTCACAGGCGCCCCCGTCTCTGCGAATCGCTCTGTCTCTCTCGCACTCAGGGGCCTCTCCGTAAGGGTGCGAGAGAGACAGCGCGACAAACCGATCTCCTCCTGCATCGCTCGGCCGCGCTGGCTGCGCTGGTTTTTGCGCCCGCTATCTGCGGATTGAGGCAGGCGGGTGGATTCCGAACAGTGCTTTCGTCGCTCTGTCTCTCTGGCGCTCGCGGCGAGAGGCGTGCGAGAGAGACAGCGTGCCGGCCGGATCGGGTGTCGTCTAGTCGTGGAGCGGAACGGAGCCGGACCCGTCGCATTGCGTTACGTTTTTCGCGGCACCCGGCAGCGCGCGCAGCGCGGGGCGGTACAGTACGTACTTCGTACTACGTACTCGCGGTGCGTTATTTGCACGAAACACGTTTTGAATTTGCCGCGCCCCGCGCCACCCCGACCGGCGCAGATGATTGGCTCGGTAAACGGGGCGCGTCTGTCTGTGTGTGTGTGCGTGCGTGCTCCGCGCCCACGTCGTACAGTGTATTCGCAGCGGGGCGGTACAGCGGAATAACCGAACCAAAAGAAAAAAACAACAACACAAAAACGGAGGGAAAATTTGCGATAAATAATGTCGATTGGTGAAGGCAATGCTCACTCTGCTTTACAGTCTCACATTTCTACAACGTGCGGGGCTCCGTACGTACTCGTACGCGTGCAAACTCACACACACACACACACACACACACACACGTGTGTTCGTCCTATGTGCCAAGGGAATGAATGGATTCCGCACGCGGGGCAAATATGGCTGCACGTAGAGGGCGTATCGGTGCGACGGCTGCCAGGCTGCCAGTGCAGCAATACCGAACGCGCCCCGCCCCGCCCCCTTCGGGGATTTTGGCTCGGCGCGGCGGCCTCGGCCTTGGAGCCCGGACTAACGTAGAGTAATGGCATGACGTATGTTACAGGTGAGTGAGTCCTCGCTGGCTGCCAGCTCGGCCAGGCCGCCAGGCTGCCAGGCCGCCCGGCCGGAGGGACGAGAGGGGACGCCGCCGGGGCGCTTCATCGCGGTGAGTAAGTGCAGTGGACTGCTTGACGTGGAGGACGACGAGGGCGACGGGCGCCCGAGGGCGCCGAGCAGACGTCCGAAACAAGTCTGTCTCTCTCGCACCCCGAGGCCGGGCGGCCCGTGAGTGCGAGAGAGACAGAGGGACGCCCGCAAGAGGGGTGGGTCTGGAATTCGCGCCCCGCCAATTTTGAGTATGCGAGAGTGGCCGTGCTGGCCGTGCTGGCCGGGGTCATCGTCCTGGAGGGGGGGAAAAGTGGCTGCACGACTTAAGTACGGCCCCCGAGCACTCCTGTGGTGCCGGAACGCCGGAACTCGACAGTGAGCTGGGCCGGCGAGCCCGGCACGGCGCGGCACGGCGCAGAGAGGCTCGGACTGGCACGGAGTCATAGCAAGTTGCAGTGGGCCCTAAATCCCCGCAACCCACCCTCCCCACTTAAGCAGCAGAGTCTTGCTTTGTACTTGGGTCGGTCCGCCCTACGCCCCACCCGCCCAAAGCTCTGTCGCCACAAAATGTTTCGCCGTTTTCTTCCTCGTTTTGAAATTTTTGGCCAGTTGCAGCAGTGCGCGAACCTGGCCCGGCCCGATCCGTCACCAGCGGGGGAGCGCCTTTCGCGGCAAGAACGACAAGAAGAAAGAAGATACAAATTGAGGCGCCGGGACGCGCGGGACGCACTCTGCCGGAGAAATTAATCGTCATTTCCCTCTAACGACGCGCCTGCCTGCCTGCCAGCTCGTCTGTCCCGCCAGCCTGCGCGCGGCGCGCTGCGCGTCGTCATCTCGTCGTCTCCGTTTCGCGCATTTTTTCCGCCTCCCCGGAGCCGAGTCGGCGCGGGCCCGCCAAAGAGGTTTAGTTACCGCAGCACTCCGCCGCACTCCGTCTCGGCGGGCAGGGCTTCGATTGGGTGGCAGTGTGGCGCCCTCCAGGGTCACTTGGGGGCAACAGCCTGCTAATGCGGCGGGGCGAACGCGAAGCTGGAGGTGACCGCCACAAGGACCGCCACGAGGACGCCGCCGTCGACGCGGCCGCGAGAAGCCGGCACGGAGGGAGGGACAGCGGCCACTCATTGGGGCAGGACGCGTCGATAGCGGCTTTGTCTAGGCTGCTGGGGGATGCGGGGGCCGGGCCGGCCGGGGCCCTCTCCCGAGGGTTCTGGCGGCGCGGTGGCGGCGGCCGGGGATCGCTGAAACCACTCCGCCACGCTTTGTTAGGTGCCTATGCCACTGCGGACCCTGGTGTAGCCGCCAAGCCGCCCCCTCCTCGCTCTCGCATGATCGCCGTGGAGCACAAGTAGTGTCCTTCTCTGGACCCCTCTGTCTGCGGCCTGCCGGGCCGAGGGCCACGCCGCCTCGCCCCGCCCGGCCCGGACCATTCTCGGAGCTTTCCGCTTTGTTACCCGTCTGCAGGCCAAGTAGAGCCCCTGCCCCTACTGGGGCTGCTCCGGGCTAGCAGAGCTCTGCGGTCCGTGGCGCAGGACGCAGACGTCCCGCCCCGCCCCGCCCCGCCCTCGGCCACACCCCCGCCGCCACATTTCACACAAGTTTTACCCGCGCGCCAAAACTATTCGTCTTCCTCCTCGTCGCCCCCCGCAGTCCCTACAGTGCAGGCCGCCGCCTTGGCCGCCTTGGCGTCTTCCGCCTTGCCTCCGCCGTTTGCGGACTCGCGCTCCTTTTGTCGTTATTTGCATTAATCAAGCGAGAGTCGCTCCGTCTCTCTCGCACCCCGACGGGGCGCCCCGCGAGTGCGAGAGAGACGGCGGCGGCCACCCCTTCGAGTGCGTGGCGGAGTCCCTTACCACACCCACGGCCTACTCCGCCTGCTCCGCTCCGCCCGCTCCCCAAAGCCGGTTTTAAAACTTGGGGGCTGGGCCGGGGTCCTGGGAAGGGGTCCTGGGAAGGGAGAGGGGCGGGGGCTGCAGTCATTAGGCCCGAGTCCGGGGCCCCGTAGTGTTTTGCGGCCCGGACGGCTTGCGTTTGGAGCGCGCTCCAACTTCGGAATGCCTTTTCGATGCCGATTGTGGCCTGTCGCCCGGACGGCATCGGCACTCGTTTGCGGGCTGCCGAACTGGCGGGCCCCTGATTCCACCGCCAATAGAAAGGCGCTACCGATTTCGCTGCCTGTACCGCCACTGGGTTTGGAGGGAAGACCAGACAGAAAA